TTTTTTTCTTTTTCTTTTTTACATGATTTCCATGTAACCCACTCATCCTGCTTAATCCTGGCACTTACTTTTGGCCTCTTGGCTCTCACTTTCCATGAATTTGATATTACATTTGACATTAAAAAATAAAATTAAGCCATGTTTTTCCCACTTATTGCAGTAAGGTTTAGTATAACAGTGCAGGAAACTGTGGAAATAACCTTTAATTGTCTAATCCTACCACCTATGCCTTAACCAGATATCTGACTCTTACAGGGAGAGATACGCGAATGAAACTTCCTGACATCCCAAAATGGTGAGCGTGATGAGTCATATTGGAAAGTTGTGGGTTTTTTTTTAAATGTTATTAAAGGTGACACATTGTTTTCCCTTGGTGGGGATAATTTAGTAGAAGCATAACGTATGTGGGTGTAGTTTATTTTAAGATCTTCCTCCTCTGTGTTCATTTTTTCATATGTCTACCGCTCACAGCTGATATGTCACAGATGTTTGCTGAAACGTTCGCTTGTATACAAAATGTTACAGAAAGAAAGAAACAGTTTTCTCTCTTTTTCTTCCAGTGCTGGTTCCAGTGCTCCCAGTAAAGGTTGCAGTAAGTACTAATCCAGCCTCTAGAATTTTACTTTTAACTTTAAAAGCAATGTATGTATGTATACTAATAATGTGTTTTTCTTTTATTCGTTTAACTTTAGATTCTGATATTTATGCTGAAATCCCTGAAGACGGAGCTGACATTAGTGGTGAGTAGCATTTGACTTCAAATCAAAACTGATCCTAAAGCTCACGCAGATTGTATCGCTACCAATGAGCCAAAACCATCTGTCAGTTAAGGTGTTTGTGTTATTGCGATGGTCAGTTGTGGGGATTTTGTTATATAATCCCCTGCTGCTCTCTTCCTTATTGAGAAAGAATGAAAATGTTAAAACATTGTTACAAAACAGCAAACTAAGAAAAGCTGGAGTATTCAAAGTGAGTAAGTAGAAAGTTAAAAATGTACACGTAAAAACTTCCCCGGGTTTAACCGAAATTATACAGTACTGTGCAAAAGTCTTGAGCCGCCCTCATTTCTGTATATTTTCCTTCCAAAAAGACTGAATCTAGTTTTGGTTTTTTTTTGGTTTTTTAACGTAACCTTGAGCTTCCTGAAAGTTTTTTAATGTTTTTCCTTGGACATTGACTGCTCTATACCAGTTCTATAACTTGACCATTTTAAGAGTGCTTGGGGGTTGTTGTTTTTTTGTTGTTTTTTTGCTTCTTTGTTGTTAAGGTACTTCACACTTATGAATCATTCAAACATAAAAAGGCACCTAACTCAAGGGATGAGCCAGTGTTCTGTTTTCACATAATAACTTGGCAAAGAACCAATTTCTGTAGTTGAATCTATAAAAATGATTTAGATAACACAGTTTGGCAGACATATAAATAATATTTTTGCACCAGTGAGGTGATCCCCAAAGAGCTGTAAGCTGAAAGCTTGGGATTTCTCAACATTGTGTGCAGTGTGTCCTTAAAAAATCGGAAGAAACTGGACAAATGGAGGATAAAAAGAAGAAATGGCAGGTGTGGGAGATGCATCTGGCTATTGATGGGTTGATTGATGTGTTCGCTGGAGCCTCATCAGAAATGGTCTTGGTTCAATGGCCAGCTGGTGTCAACAAGTACCATCAAATTTTGATCCACTATGAAATACCATCTGAAAAGCAACTGGTCGACAACTGCTTCATTTTTCAGCATGTCAGTGATCTCAAACACACTGCCAATGCAGTTAAAGAACACCGGGGTAGAAACCCAACATTATCAGTCACAGATTGGCCTCCCCAGACCTC